ATCATGACTTTGTCAGAGGAGTTCCAAGTCGGTTCCCTCCAGCATGGTGAATATTATGTGCCACTGAAGATCAATATGAGAGATTAGTGCTATATAGGCACACAAGAGAAGGTGTGTGGCAAATTTGAAAATGCTGACATGGCGAAAATGGAATATGGGGGATATCACAGTTATAATAATAATTGGTGGTATGAAGAATAGCTATACATAAAGCCGCACAATAAAGCTAGCTGCAGGTCAAGGAGGTGGAAAATGGGATTGCTAACACCTGAATACCCGTTATTTTTTAATTTTGTGTGTGTCTTTTTTAAAACTTTCAAAATGTCACATGGTTGTGGGTTGTCCTTTGTGATGAGTGAATCCGTAGCCTTGCTATGTACTGGAAAATACATTTTGCTACAGCCGGTATGTAGTATCGTACTTATCAATTTCATCTGGTAAACTAGCGGATGATAGTTTAGGTAACAGTGACGCAGTACTGCATTACTCTTCTTTTCCAGTGATGAAAATGCCGGGAAAGGCAAAGACAGCCACCGGCTGCTTCAAAACCCTTCAGGAACATCATCCTGGCTTGCACTGGCGTAAGCCAAAGCAAGGACAACAAGGTGACCCCATTGTCACTTAGCCTCCATTGAAACTTCGTGCTTTTCAGAGGAAACTAAAGATATGAGGAAATTGCAGAAAGTATCAAAATCACATGTCCGGGGTGACCATAAAGTAAGACCTGATCCTTTCCGTGAAAGAGGTCTTGCCTTCCAGAACACTGGGATACGTTGTTGCCCGCGATTGTAGTCGTCATGTAGTGATGATATGGCTGCATGCTTTCTCATTCACGCCTGCCGCAAAAAGAATCTGTGCTCAGAATATACTTTTTGAACAATACTCAATCGTGTGCAGTCATTTAATGGCCTTAATCTGGCTTGAAGCATTGTAATATCGTGTCATAAATACAAATTTCCTTGGATGAGGTTTCTCACTACCAAAGTACAATTGAACAGAGGTTTCTCCCATGTGGCCAAAAATTGTTGTGTGTCCATTTGGTGATTCAGTTTGTTGGGATTATTTTAATTCCATTAAATGCATTAATTCATTAAATGGTATTTTAATGAAACTACATAGTACCCATTTCCAGGAAATTTCAACATTTTTCCTGGTAGGATATGTTTTTCCCCCTTGAATTAGTTACAGCCCCTTTAAATGTAATTTTCACTTGATTGCAGGGAGCTTTGAATCTGAAAAATAATTTTACTTTTCCATAAAAAAAATGGATTACAAAATAAATATTCAACAGGTGGTTTTTTTTTTTAAGTTCATTTATTTTGGAGTGGAGGCGGTAAGAACCAGCAGAGAAAGAGAATCCATAGCAAGGCTCCACGGCGACAGCACAAGAGCCCAACACAGGACAACTCTTGAACCATGAAATCATGACTGAGCCAAAAATCAAGAGTGAGCGCTTACAAATTATTGAAGCTAAAGCCGCAGCTCCCCATGAATAACTTTAATAATGGAAGTTGGACTGCAAATAAAGTAAAAGTATTATTACTGAGAATACATTCCTTCCTCCGTCTGGAATTTAAACAAATCATTATTGAAGTGATAGTTTCTTGCTTAAGCGTCTGACTCTTGATTTTTGGCTCAGGTCATGATTTCATGGTTCATGAGTTTGAGTCCTGTGTTGGGCTCTGTGCTGTCAGCGTGGAGCCTGCTTGGGATTCTTTCTCTCTCTTTCTCTGCTGGTTCCCCACGTCTCCACTCAAAATAAATGAACTTAAAAAAAAAACCACTCCTCATGTTGAATATTTATTTTGTAATCCATTTTTTTTTATGGAAAGTAAAACTATTTTCAAGATTCAAAGCCCTAAATCAAGGAAACTATATTTAAAGGGGCTGTAACTAATTCAAGGGGGAAAAACATATCCTACCAGGAAAAATGTTGAATGGAAAATGGGTACTATGGCTTCATTAAAATAATTAATGCATTTAATGAATTAATGCATTTAATGGAATTAAAATAATCCCAACAAACGGAATCACTCAAAATACACAACAATTTTTGGCCATGGGAGAAACCTCTGTTCACTCAGGTAATTTCTGGGTAGTGAGAAAACCTCTATCCAAGGAAATTTGTATTTTATGACACGTATATTACACGCTGCCAGATTAAGGCCACATCACACAGTGACTGCACACGTACTGAGCATTAAGTTCCCTTAAAAGCATATTCTATACAGACTTTTTGCGTGTGCGAATGAGAAAGCATGCAGCCACTCTTCACTAATGACTACAATCGTGGTACAACGATCCCAGTAAGTTCTGACAAGACCCTTTCACGGAAAGGATCAGGTCTACTTATGGTCACCCTGACACATGTGATTTGATACTTTCTGCACTCATATCTCTTTTAGTTTCCTGAAAAGCACGCAGTTCTCAATGGAGGCTATGACAATGGGGTCACCTGTTGTCCTGCTTTGGCTTACCAGTAAGCCAGGGATGGATGTTCCTGAAGGGTTTTGGTTGGAAAGGCTGGTAATGTCTTTAAGTCTTTCCTGGCATTTTCATCACTGAAAAGAAGAGTAATGCAGTAATGTCAGTCACTGTTACCTAAACTATCATCCAAGCTAGTCACCAGATGAAATCTGATAAGTAACGACACTACACCGGGCTGTAGCAAAATGTGGTCAGCACATATAAGGCTACGGATTCAATTCCCCCAAAGGACAACCCGCCGAACCATGTGACATTTTGAAGTTTTTAAAAAGACACACACAAAAATTAAAATAACGGTATTCAGGTGCCATAATCCCATTTTCCTTACCCTCCTGATAAACCTGCAGCTACTTTTATTGTATATTTCTATGTATAGCTATTCTGTTACCTAATTATTATTATAACTGTGGATATCCCATATTCCATTTTCACACAGCATTCTTCAAATTTTATTACACACCTTCTCTGTGTGCCTATAGCACTCCCATATTGATCTTCAGTGGCACATAATATTCACCATGCTGGAAAACTGATTATCATAAAACCACTCATATAGTATTATCACTTTCTCATAAAAGGTATCAATTCAATAAAAAGGTTTGTATAGACTTTACTATGACTTGTCTGTTGTTTCCTTACCATGCTCTGAAATAAAATGGACCAAGTTGGCCATTTGTGAAAAACACTTGAAAGAAGAGGACTTGAAAACGTGTGTCTAATGAAACCCCAGATATCCTTCAAATTGCATCAAGTGAACTAAAAATGTACCTCCGTAAGGTCAGCTATTATCTCACTGTAAAAGGGCAACATTCTAGTTGTCAAAAGAGACAATTTTGGGGGGCGCCCAGCTGGCTCAGTCGAGAGAACATGCAACTCTTGATCTCGGGGTTGCGAGTTCGAGCCCCATGTTGGGTGTATACAGCTTACTTAAAAATAAATAAATAAAAAAGAGAGGGGTGTGGTCTTCATGGAACTTAACAGAAGGAAGAACAGGTAATACGATGCAGTCATAGCTGGTCCTCTCAAAAACTGCCCCAAGTATTTAAGGGTAGTCTATGAAAAAACAGACATGACTCTCTGGGGTCTATCAGAGCCTGGGATAAGTACATGAACAGCTATTAAAAATCCTGACCAGGGGCGCCTGGGTGGCGCAGTCGGTTAAGCATCCGACTTCAGCCAGGTCACGATCTCGCGGTCCGTGAGTTCAAGCCCCGCGTCGGGCTCTGGGCTGACAGCTCGGAGCCTGGAACCTGCTTCCGATTCTGTGTCTCCCTCTCTCTCTGCCTCTCCCCCGTTCATGCTCTGTCTCTCTCTGTCTCAAAAATAAATAAACGTTAAAAAAATATTAAAAAAAAAAAAAATCCTGACCAAACTGGCATCCATCCATCAGCCCATTGGTAGCTCTTCAACTGTCCACTGCTTCATCTCTTTCCCAGAGCCTATCGTTTGTGGAGAGTCAGGCACCATGCAAGACACTTTTTAGGCATTATATACCTGACCTAAGTCTCACCATGACTCCTTCCAGGTGGTAGGTACTGTTATTATCCATGCTTTACAGGTAAGAGGGAGAGGCTTCCAGAAGTAAGCCCCTCACTCAGTGTCTCACAGCCACTATGTAGAGAAGCCAGAAGGCAAACCCAGTCTGCTTGGCTTTAAAAGACAAGATCAGGGGCGCCTGGGTGGCGCAGTCGGTTAAGCGTCCGACTTCAGCCAGGTCACGATCTCGCGGTCCGTGAGTTCAAGCCCCGCGTCGGGCTCTGGGCTGATGGCTCAGAGCCTGGAGACTGTTTCCAATTCTGTATCTCCCTCTCTCTCTGCCCCTCCCCCGTTCATGCTCTGTCTCTCTCTGTCCCAAAAATAAATAAACATTGGAAAAAAAAAAATTAAAAAAAAAAAAAAGACAAGATCAGGCGGTGCCTGGGTGGCTCAGAAGGCTGAGGATCCCACTTCGGCTCGGGTCACAGTCTCGTGATTCATGAGTGTGAGCCCCGCATCGGGCTCTGTGCTGACAGCTCAGAGTCCGCTTCTGGATCCTCTGTCCCTCCCCCCCACTCCTGTTCTCTCAAAAATAAATAAACATTCACAAAAAATGACAAGACCATAACCTGATTCCCTGACAGACCCTCGGAATGGCATTCCAGAGAGCACATTCTCATCTTGGGCAAGGCATAGCTCCCCTTCACCCTCACCCCCTGGTTACAAAGGAAAACACGGAACCAATTATTTTCAAGATCCATCATTTATGCATTTTCACACCAGCTTCCCGGGGGTTCGCCTCAGTGATTCACATTCAAAGCGATGAATGTCTCGGCTGGATGATGGAACACTGAACTTCAAGTGAATCTCCTCCGGAAGCATTCATTCAACACTTGCAGATCAAGTGTCACAGATTAACCCAGGAAACCGAGCACGGGCTTCGGCCAGGGTCTGTTTGAGGCACAGTGTATGTGCCGTATTAGAAATTGCTCATCCTGTCACCACATCAGGCTTGATGTATACATGGCTCTCCGTCAATGTCCACAGAAATGTTGTGTTTTGGTTTTACCGTCTCATTTCCTGACCATGCCACTGAGCAACCTATACATACACTTACTCTCTTTCACTAAGAACAGATAGACTGGAGTATCCCCTCGCTTGGAGACACCATGATTTGCACCTGTCAACATTACATTCAAAACGAAGGTTGTGGCCTTAAGGTTCATCTTAGAGGTGAAAGATCCGGCTTTACAAATGACTACAGGAAGCAAGAAGTCACTCGGTTGTTCTTACGTAACGATAAATCTCTCTATTCATTTGAAATCTAAGCAGTACGGCTTAACGACATTGACAATCTCGGAAAACAGGTTTGGGCTTCCTGAAAACCAAAATAGACCACAATCCGATTTATTCATATTAAAGGTCATCTGTTAACTCCCAGTAATAATATTTATTTTTCTTAATAATTTCTTTTATGCGCTGTCCTTCAAATTCGATTTCCCTTTCAAAGAAGGTGGCTTGTGAGTTTTTTATGAAGGGCAAATACATGTACATATTCTAAAATGAGAGGCTAAGGACAAATAACTTTTTGTTATTAATCATCACCACCAATTACATGTGTTTTGTTACCTTCTGGGTCTACGTGAACTGTATGCTATGTTCCAAGAACTCAGCCTAGCGTTCATTTACTTCTTTGGATTATAGTTAATTTTGTAGCAATTAAGACTCACAAGAGTGAAGGCTGCTATTCAGTTTAGACTCATTTATTTTTTCAGCAAATATGTATAGAGTATATACTGCATACCTAGCATGTAGAAACAAGTGTCATTTGATGGAGTTGCTTTTAACTTATGTGAGTAGTCAGCCAAAAGAGAGAGGAGAGAGGGGACAGAAGTAAGGGAGAGATTTTATCCATCATTCTTTTCAATAAGCTCATGGTTGAGAATAAATGCAGAACCGGAGGTTTGAAGTTGATGCCCTTCAAGAAGGTGTTAGTTCCTGTGTCCTCAAAGTACCAGCATCTCACAACACTGAGGTTTTTCTAGCATTTTGTAAACATGTATTAAGCATTTAATACATGTCTGCTAAACACAAGCAACTTACATGTTTAGAGCCTAACTAAAGAAACAGCTATGTGGTTCAACATGAGAAAAATACTACCTGTGTTGAATTTATTGAAGATAAACTCTGGTCTTTGATATGTCATCTTTTCAAGGAATTTTCAAGAGTAATTTTAACTATAAAATGGTTCCTCTTATCCATGGGGGACACGTTCCCAGAACCCAAATGGGTGTCTGAGACTGCAGATAGTCCCAAACCCTACACATACCACGTTTTTTCCTATACACACATACCCATGATAAACTTTAATTTGTAAATCAGTCATAGTAAAAGATTAAAAATAATAATAAAATAGAACAATGGTAACAATGTACCATCGTAACAGTTACGTGAATGTGGTCTCTCTCTAAACGTATCTTACTGTGCTATACTCACCATTCTTCATATGGGATGTGAGATGACAAAATGCCTACATGCGGAGATGCAGGGAGGTGAATGACAGGCATTGTGACCTAGTGTTAGGCTACTATTGACCTTCTGATGATTCGTCAGGGAGAGGATCATCTACTTCCAGACCTCGGGGAATTGACACCGTGGAAAGTGAAACCGCAGGTAAGTGGGGACTACTATAGACAATCAGAATCGCCCTGGTTATCAGATGTGATAAGACGTTATTCATCTGGACATGGGGGCTGAGTAATCAACATACAAGCAAAGATTAACCAGAGGCCAGTATCCTAAATAACAATGAGTATTCATTCACTAAGACGGCTAGGGTACTAATCAATCAACAGGAAGCAACTAAAATGTGCATTAATAGGGAGGCAGCTTAGGGATCATTTCAAGGAGAGTTTCAAAGGTATATACCTGAACAGGTGGAGCACAGGGATGTGCGGGCAGTGAAACTATTCTGAATATTGTAATGACACACATGACATTATGCATTTGTTAACATTTGTAAACCTGTACAATATACAGACTGAATCCCAATTGGACTATGGACGTTGGTTAACAATAATGTAATAATATTGATTCAGTTGTAACAAGCAAACCACACTAAAGTAAGATGTTAATAATAAGGGAAACTGCTGGGAGGTCGGGAGGGGCAAGAAAGAGGGGGTATATGGGAACTCCCTGGACTTCCTGCCCCAAGTTTCTGAAACCTAAAACTGCTCTAAAATAATAAGGTATATTAATGTAGAAAAGAAAGAAAGAAAAAGAAAGAAATTCACTTTAGATTAGTGGTTCTTAACTTATGTAGTTTTGCCCCTTGGGGGACATTCAGTAATGTCTTACGACATTGTTTTTAAAGTTGGTTTTTTTTTTTTGTTTGTTTTTTTGTTTTTGAGAGAGAGAGAGTGCGCAAATGAGCGGGCTTGTGCACCTGTGAGCAGGGCAGGGGGGAGGGAGGGGGAGGGAGAGGGAGAGGAAGAGGGAGAGGGGGAGAGGGAGAGAGGGAGAGGGAGAGGGGAGGCGGAGAGGGAGAGAGGGAGACGGGGAGGGAGAGGGACAGGGAGACGGGGAGGGAGAGGGGGAG